AGATTGTTTTGAAGAAAGTGATTACATAAGAGAAGAGGATGACACAGGGATTATTTTAGATATGTATGGGGTACAATAATTAGGTACATCGGAGATATTTGGCAAATAATACATAAAGAGTGCAGTCTGGTGACATGACGGTTAAAGCACTGGACTCACATGGTTGACCACAGACCTGTGGCTTGCTTTCTCACTTTCCCTTCCTCTCTCTATTTCTGTTCAAATTTTAAAATAATAGTAATAATAAATGCAATTAAGTAACTAATTTTTTACAACAATTGAAAAATAGTAATAATACATAAAGAACAAAGGGAAGCATGCTAGTTCTTTATTACAAGTCTTTGTAAGGGTAACACAGTGGTTAAGTTCTGGACTCCCACATGGCTGACTGCATTTTCAGTCCTGGAACTAGAGACTTAAAACTCATGTCTGGCATATGTGCATGGTTGCCTCAAACCCTGACAAGATAATAAAGAATGGATTACAGTGTGGCCATCACACCAGGAGTGTTTTTTCAATTTCTCTGTCTCTCTGCCAACTTTATGTATGTATAGCAAAAATCTCTCTCTAAAACAAAACAATTAAAAGAAAACCTAACTAATATCAATGTAATGGGAGCTTAAATGATACACAGCATAGAACTATTAAAGGCAATAGTTATCCAAAGTGGAGAAAAATAGACATATCATCAAAACAGTTGAAAACATATATGATTATGATTAATAATTCTCTTTTCTGCTCAGACTCCTGAATCTGTGTGTAGTCGCAGCTGTGTTCCTGGATTTCAAAAACTTCCCCAAGAAGGAAGACCTGTTTGCTGCTTTATTTGTGTCTTGTGCCCAGTGTCAGGCATTTCAAATCAAACAAGTATGAAATATATAACTAGATTCATATTCCCTACTATTGCTTGATAAAAGTAAAATTGTTACTATTTGAAACAAAACATGGGAACCAGAAGGTGATGTGGTGGTGAAGGCACTGTCCCATGTGGCTGACTTTGGTTTAATTCCCAATCCTGACTCTTGAGTCATGCCAAGTGCATGTGCATATGTGCCCAAAATCTCCAGAGCAGAAAGTAAAAAAAGGGACTGTGGCAAGGCCATCTCATCTGGAAGGTGATTTCTCACTTTCTATCTCTGCTGAACACACTTGCCCTATAGCAAAACTCTCTCTCTTTCTCTTTCTCTGTCACACACACACACACACACACACACACACACATACACACACGCAGAAATGAATCATAGAGCACTACTGTTCTTAATTCACATATTCATTGATTTGGTATATTTATTTTATAAACACTATTACTGCCCTATTTTGTGTAAGCTGTTATCTGGCCATGCTCATTCTGTTAGGCTCAACTCTGAAATGATTTCCAATGGACACCCTTGCACTTTAGTGCTGGTTAAGACTGTCAATCTTAAATCTCATTCTGGAGCACATTAGTCATGAAATGAGAGATGTGTCATTATCAAGGTGACCTGCAGGTGCCTTAAACTTTGAATCTGACTTTTATACCCAGATGATAAGCACAACATAATAACAGATAATAACAGATAAATTATTATAAAAATATTGTAAACTTTTTTTTTTCTATAAGGCATGTGCTTTTGCCATAAAGACCAAGAGAAACAGAGAGACAGAAAGTGAGAAATCACTCTCCAGAGGGGATGGCCACACTGCAATCCCTTCTCCTCCATTCTCCTCTTAGGATATTGGGCATGCATACACATGGGTCTGGTATGAGTTTAAGTCACCAAGGCTGGGGCTCGAACTGTGGTCATCCACATGGGAGTCCAGCAACATAGCCATTTCACCCACTGCTGGTCCCAAAATATTATAAACTTTTTCAACCATGATCAAACAATTAAGAACAAAGAATGACTAATATCAGGATATTGAATTATATTGCAGGAAGAAAAAGAAACATAGTTTAAACATTAAAGACTCAACATTCTAATCAATTTCACACTTAGGTACCTCAAAATTTGCTGTCATACAAAATATAAAATCAAACAATTGTCAAAGTAAAATGTGGAAATGTGGTACTGGCAATGGTAAAATATAGGAAATTATGCTTCCATTTTTCCAATATATAAGGAATAAATATGGTTTGAATTCTTCCATAATACTTATTCAATTAAGTATTGTTCAATTTCAGGCATTCTAACAATAGAAATCATTTTGATTTTCATTACTAGTAAAAATTAATATTTAAGTTTAGGTTAGAATATGCCAAGAAAAAAATGCTTATATTTTTGTGAATGAATTGCAAAACCAAATGAGTGTGTAAAACAAGAAATAAAAATAGTGGTATGGAGACAGCCAATAGCATGGTGGTTAAGGTGACTGAATCTCACATGATCTGAATTGTGACTTCAGTCCTCCACCAGATGACTTGGAAAATACACCACGAGTTTGTATGTTGTGTAAAATAATGATAAAGGTAAAATATGGTGCAGAAGGGATTGTGACATGACCATTCTACAGAGGTGGTGCTGTCTAAAGTTCTTTTCCTGGGTGTCTCTCTCTAGTGAGTGAATGTGTCTCCCGGGAATTATTTTTAAATGAATAATATGGAGCCAGCAGGTGGTGGGGTGGCTAAGGGTGTTGGACTGCCTCATGGCTGACTGCAGTTTGAGTCTGGGACTGGGTGGCTTTATTTCTCACTTTTACTCCCTCTCTGGTTGAATTTAAAAAAATAATAATGATAATAATCTGGAAAAGATAATAAAAAGCTATTTGGTGATGATGGGGATTTTAATGTCTTTGTATTGACTGATATGCATGGTATTCCTTCTGGAAACAGAATTGTAATGCACTATAAAGTTATATGTGATTCAATGTAATGCAAACAAGATTATGATAATAATAAACAGAATTAATAATAATAAAAACAAATTAAATTAAATAAGTAATTTTAAGAATGAATATTAGGGGCTAGTAGGTAGCATGACTCATAAGATACAGGAATCCCACATGACCGACCATGATTTGAGTCCTAGATCTGGCCACATACTTTGCCACTTTCCTTCTCTCTTTCTGTCTCTGTCTCTCTGTGCTGAACACAAATGCCCTAGAGCAAATTTTAAAATTAATAAAACATAAAACTAAATAAATAATTATATTAAAAAATAAAAAAAAATGAATAGAGAAAGAAAGGGGTTGGGACCCAGAAAAAATAAACACATTCATGTGGGTGCCAAACCTATTTCTGAGACAAAAGTCTGAAATATCTGATGACTCTTGGAATAGAAGTAGGTAATACAAAAAAAATGTGATTAGTTATCATTCTAATTCTTTTTTTCTAAGAACTGTTTATTTAATTCTATCATTATAACTATTAAAATTTGCTATAAATCATGCACACTCACCAGAGAGATATAGGAAGTGAAAGTGAGAAAACAAGTTACCATGTCTGAGACTCAAACTGCAATAAGTCTTGTGGGAGTCTAGGTCTTTTTTAATATTATTTTAATTTCTTTTACACATTCAATCACTATACATCACTTGTAAGGTGAATTTTTCAACATGAATACATTTCCTACCAGTCCAGTCAGGGGTACTCTACATGTTATCATCAACCAGTTATAATTCACTTCTATGCCCCATAAAAGTCTTACCTCTCTGTTTTCCTCTTTAATGTCTTTCCTCAGACTCTCCTTCTTTCATCATCTTCTCACACTATGACCTTAACTGCCATGACACCTGCTGGCCCCCACTGTAATTCTTTGAGAAGATATTGGGTTGTAAGAGTCACAATGTATTTTAGTTTTTTTTACTTTTCTGTGGAAAAATGCATCATGACTTTTTCGACAGCCCAATAATATTGCCTCAGTATTACCAACAGTAAATACTTGAGTAAATATTAGACACATCACCTAGTTTTCTTTAAAAAAACAAAGTAATAAGTGCATACATACTTATTAATTTCCATAATATCTGTGGCTGATTTTCTGCTTCATAATAATAAAAGTGAGTATGTCCAACAGAAAACACATAATGTATAAAGGCAAAAAACATTATCAGCCTCTCAAAAAGAAAAAGAGATTTACAAACTATGTTTTCAAATGTACATAAATGGATATCTCAAAAAGAACATTCCATCTTTCTATCATATAATTATAATAGCAATACCTCAAACAACAGCTATATAGGAGCAATCAAATTCCATTCAAGATTTAAATGTTTTAAATTAAAACAGTTTTCTGAGACTAGCAGGTGTCAATAGTCAATTATTTTTGAACTCCAACATGGCCAAATGCAGTTCGAGTCCCAAACATGATGCTTTCAAACTCATGCTGGGCAGGTGTGTGTACACACCCAAGATCCCAGGAAGAGAATGAAGAAAAAGAGTTTGCAGCATGACCATTCTCTCTGAGGGTGGTTTCTCACTTTTTTCTCACTGTGTCTGTCTCTTTCTCTCTCTGGCAAGCACACATGCCCTAAGGCAAAAACCTCTACCAAAAACAAACAAACAAAAAAAGAAATTAAACTAGTTTTCAACATTTACATAAGACTATTTATGATAAAATTGATATAAAAATTAAAATGTACAATAAGAAAAATAGGTACATAAAGTGACAAGCTATATTCAAGGAAAAATCAATAGAAATTAGGATAGAGCTAGAAATTAAGATATTCCAGGAGAATAAGATATTTCTTGTTATCAGAATATTAAAAAGAAAACTATTCATTTCTGTTGTGATGAACAAATATGATAAGCCATGGAAATATAAAGTTCATTATAAGGAAAACAGCAGAGAGTGTAGAGAAGAAATCTGAAATAAATTCTCATAATTGATGGTATCATTTCACAAGATGGGCCAACCAAGATCTTTAGATGCTAAGACCCAGTTTTAAATCACTTTGGTGCCTGCCATCTGAAGCTGAAAGAATTCTCCCAGTGTCATCAACCAACATAGGCTCTTAATTTGGTATATCTTGGTATTATCTTAGGGATTCATCTGTGGAAAATTACACAGATGTCACCATTTCCTTTAACATGACAATCAATTTGTAAAATTAAATTGCTGGATCTTTGTTTTGTCACCAGATGCAAAGCAGTGTGTCCAGTGCCCATCTCAAGAGTATCCAAACAGTGAAAGAACTCATTGCCTTCCCAAGCCTGTGATATTCCTGGATTTTGAAGATGCTTTGGGGACAGCCATGGGCTGCATAGCTCTGTGCTTCTTTGTTCTCACAGCTGTAGTTTTGGGGATCTTTGTGAAGCACAGAGACACTCCTATTGTCAAGGCCAACAACCAGGCTCTCAGTTTTATTCTTCTCATCTCCCTCCTACTGTGCTTCCTCTGCTCCTTGCTCTTCATTGGTCATCCTAACACAATCACCTGTGTCCTCCAACAAGTTGCATTTGGCCTTGTGTTCACTGTGGCTGTTTCCACTGTTTTGGCCAAAACCATTACTGTGATTCTGGCATTCAAGGTCATGAAGCCTGGAAGAACAATGAGGTGCTTGCTGCTGTCAGGGGCTTCCAACTCTGTCATTCCCATTTGCTCCCTGATCCAAATGATTATCTGTGGAATCTGGCTGGGAACCTCTCC